TTAATAAATGGCAGGATTTTTATTAATTGGGATATGGATGAAAGTACAAGCTGCAGAGCTGTGCCAGAAAAGGAATCTCTGGTCTGGCTTATGCAAACCAGCCTGGCTGGCCTAGCAGAGAGCCAATCTGTTAACATGGCAAAAGGTGTTGATGGGCCACACTAGAGGAATCCTTTGGCCTGGGGAGACAGTTGCTGCCAAGGTGGTGTGGTGTGTGTTTGAAGTGATAGGAAATTAGAGTTTTTAGAATGATGTGCGCGATGGAAAGGGGTTAAATATACCGGTTGTGGGGAGGGAGGGGGGTCGCGACTCGGCAGAGTCAAAGGTAATGTATGGTGTTAATACAATTTGTTGGAAAAGAATATGTAAGGAAAACAATAAAAATTTACTTGTGGAGAAATTAGAGTTTTTAGAAAGGTGTTCTGGGAAGAAGAAGGGAAATGAAGGGCTGGAATCCATCTTGGGCAGGCTGGCTGAAGACTGGCTGCACTGCTGTGGGGACAAGCCCCTCTTGAAATGACCATGCTGTAAGATCTGGACTCCCTGAAGGCAAACAAACCATACTTCTTAAAGCTATGACAGTCTCTGTGGTGTCTCAATTCTCCAAAGGAACACAGACCCTGGGTGAGTGCCTGGAAGCCCCCTGGGATCTTGCTATCACTTGGCAGAGATTGGGGGAGGCACCCAATTTTTGTAACAGTATGCACACAAACATACATATGCATATATATTCACTCCTAGGTGTCATGATTAAATCCTGCCGGGGGAGACTGGACTAGATAATGAACTACTTAGAGGATTTGCATCCTGCCTTATGACTGAATGATCTGCATGGCAGCTTCCCTCAGATTGTAATAATATTTGCACACTGCGTATACACAAAGCCAAACTCATGGCAACCCAGCAGCCATTCTTCCTGAGGGTCTTTTCCTGTTCTTCTGCAATCCCAGCACAACTGGAAAGCAACAGCAGAGTACTAGGGGATTGTGGGGGAGAGATAAATTGGATTTTGTTTGCATTTTCATGTGAAATGACATAATTCATACTTCTCAAGCCAATATGCTAACTTAAACACAGTTGTTCTTAAAAAATGGCACATCTCCACATCTTGCGATGCCATTCTCGAACTAAACACACTGTGCAGAAATGCATTATATCAGGGGGAATTGTTTGCAAACAAAGTGTAAATAAATGTGTATGTACAAAATGCATACAAATATGTGTATATCAGGAATAATTCACACTGAAATGCTAGACTTTTAACACACACACACACACACACACACACACGTATTGAAATGTGGAAAACTGAATTTGTGAATGGAAAAAAGAGATAAACTTGAATGGAAAGATTTGTCTATCCCTTCTCCCTGCTCTCTGGCTGATGGATGGTGCTAGGCTAGTCTCCACCTTGCCTTTATGCTCTTCTCGGAAGACCAGAGAGTCTCCCAATTGCCCTTGATCCCTTTTCTGGCAGCAGATGCAAGCGCATGCAGCTCTCCAGCTCTCCAGTCCTTCAGTCAGAGCACTTGTGAAATCCACCTTGAAATATTCAAGGCCTCTTGACATTCAACCTTCGGGTGAATTTGGCCATTGCTGTTGTCAAGCCAAATGTTGGGACCCAGCCTAATGTTCTGGACTGGGTGGGAAAGACTTTTTTTTAAGAGAGGAAAGAAAGAAAGAAAGAAAGAAAGAAAGAAAGAAAGAAAGAAAGAAAGAAAGAAAGAAAAGGCCCTCTATTCATCAGCCATGTCCATGTGCTTTAAAATGGGAGGGGTGCATTATTCATTACATAATCCAGCGCTGTGTGCAGTCACCATGGCAAAGAGAAAAGCAAACAGCAGCTTCCTTCGAAACTTTTGATCACAGCATAGCAGCATGTTGACTTTTAGGGTGGAGGAGAAGCTGGGCGACTTCAGGATGTTCTACGCAGGGATCGAGGAGAACACATTGAAAGAGAGGATGCCTTCAAAGACATGAAGCATGGAGTACAGAGCAGGAGAGGTCAGGTGGAGGGCAAACCCCTGGGGAATCCATGGAGGTTAGCAGCAAAGGGGGAGGAATGTGAGGAAGCAAAAAGGCGGCAGCATACCTTCGAAGAACGAAGAGAAAGAGAAATGCAGAGCGGTGCCTTGGAACAAGTCAGCCCAATGGTCCCTCTTACTGCATACATTAGCCTTCCCCAGTCTGGTGCCCTCAAGCTCAGCAGTTCCCAACTGGTGGTCTGGAGACTCTGGGGGTCCATGTAACCCACTCTGGGGGTCCGTGGCACCATTCATGTAACAAAAACTACCACAGAGATATCAAAACCTTCAAAAGTAGGGGGTCTATGGCTTGGCTGTTGAAAAACAGGGGCTCCACAGTACTTAGCAAATTGGGGACCACTGCTCTAGATGTCTTGGACGGGGCTGGTCTACACTCATGGATAGCAGCAGCTATCTGGGATTTCAGACAGGGCTGGGACCTACGGTACTTGGAAGGGCCACCTTGTCCTGAGAGGAAGCTCATGGTCATTTGGGACTGTTTAGTTCAGAAAAAAAGGTAAACAGGAGACATGGTAGAAGTGTATAAAATTAAGCACTGTACAGAGAAAATGGGCAGAAGAAAGTTTCTCTCTCCCTCTTTCTCTCCCTCCCTCTCTCTCTGGTAATACTTAAATGAGTGACACTGAATGTTGACAGACAACACGAAGTAGTTTTACAGCTCCTAGTTAAACTATGGAATTTGTCTCCACCAAGACATGGGGATGGCCACCTACTTGGGCTGCTTGAGAAAGGGGTTAGACAAATTTATGGAGGATCAGTCTACCAGCAGCTCTTAGTCCTGATGGCTGTGTACTATCTCTCCAGTACTGGAGGCAACATGTCTCTGAATACCAGTTGCCAGGGAACATGAGTGGGGAGGATGCTATCGTGCTCATGTCCTGCATGTGACCTTCTCACACAGGCATTTGGTTGGTGGGAAAAGGATGGTTAACTAGATGGGCATTTGGGCTATCCAATCAGGGTCTTCTTAATTTCCTGTGTCAGAAATCAGTCTGTCCAGTTGCCATTGGTACATTTGTAGAATATGATCTGTAAACAGATTAAGCCTTCCTACTTCCAGCTTAGTTGGCTAAACACATTTACTCTGAAATAAGCCTCACTGTGTTTAAAAGGATACCTTTCCTAGTAAGTATGTTTAGGATTACTGATATCACACATGAATGTTAGCAGAACTAAAGCTGCTTCAGTACAAGTAAGCCAACTGATGTGTCATTTGTTTCCTGGTGGGACACCTTGAGGGAAATATACTGAGCTGACCTTACCAGACTGATCCATAGTTTTTCCTTGTCCTCAAAGGATGTGAGAAAAAGAAGCAGCTCTGTGTTAAAAGTTTGTGCAAAGGGTGCACCTCAAATGTGGAGGACAAGAATTTTACCCAAGGCTGTTGTTGGACCAGTAAGGGGGCACAAATCTAGAAAACATATTCCATAAACCATCCAGAGCTGAACTTGTTTATGTGATGCTCCCACAATGCCTGCTCTCAGTTAGGAGTGCAAAAGTTTATAAACATTAAACTTTATAAACTTTTGCACCCCTAACTGAGAAACTAGGCATGTTGATTGTATAGCTTGCAGCTGAAAAGGGCTAGCAATGGTTAAAAGAAAACACCTCACATTCAGGCAATACTGTCACTCCCAGGGGGAGGAATGAGGTATCAAAGTGTGATGAGCAGAAATATTGGTTGAAAATCTGATGTCAGACTCATGAATTCACTTATTCAGTGCATTTTTTATCCGGGGAAAGTCAACACTGATGGGAGTTGCATTTGCATAATGTCTGAAGAGCACCACATTGGCCACCCCTGCCATACAGGCAAGTTCCCTTGCTTCCCTTTGTCTCACCTCTTTTCATCTGCCCTCCAACACAACTTATTTTGTCCTCTTCTACTTCCTATAGCATCTTTGCTGCTTTCATCTCATGGTTATTTTTGGCATCTTTCTGCATGTATATGATCCCAGATGCTGTCACAACACCTCCCCACCCAGCACCCTCCTTTCTCTGTGCAATGCAAGGATCTCTATGAACACACCCAGGCACACACATGCCATATAAACACAGAAATGCCGGTAATTAAAAATGGTCTGGGAGTGTCATGATGATATATGAATCATACTTCTATAAAAAAATATTATTTTCCTTTTTCAGGGTTCATTGGCCATGAGACAAAGAGGACTGAAGACTTTAAAACAGGAGTGCAGGGAACTTTAGGCCCTTTGCGTATTGCCGAACCACAACTTCCATCAGCCACAGGCAGCATGGCCAATAGCCAGGCACGGCGGGAGTTGTGCGTCAGCAAAAGTTCTCCTAGCAATATGATCTCCTATGGTTCAGTCAGAGATGCCAGTTTCCCCCCAAGATTGAGGGGGTGTAGCTTATGGTACATGCATACGACATCATGCATGGAAGAGGCTGAGCACTCTGGCAGAGCCAGGTGCTGAAGCTGCGATGTGTCATGTGTGTGATGTCACGCGTGTGCAATGCACGTCAAGCCCCTCAATACTGAGGGGGCTGGGCTCCCTTCAAACAAGTATCAAAGGTGCTGAAGACACCTCAGTCCCCTAGAGTTGACGCACCTGGTCGCAGCCCCTTAGATATGCAAAGATGCACCCTTCAGTATAGTACAGTGGTACCTTGGGTTACATACACTTCAAGTTACAGACGCTTCAGGTTACAGACTCTGCTAACCCAGAAATAGTACCTTGGGTTAAGAACTTTGCTTCAGGATGAGAACAGACATCATGCTCCGGCGGTCCAGTGCGACGGCAGCGGGAGGCCCCATTAGCTAGAGTGGTGCTTCAGGTTAAGAACAGTTTCAGGTTAAGAACGGACCTCCGGAACGAATTAAGTTCTTAACCCGAGGTACCACTGTATCTTGAAACCCTGCTATGGTCTTCGTACCTATGCAAAGTGCTTTGGTGGATATGTACCATGAACAGAAATTGTCAAAAGAACACATTATCAATACACACCGTCTATAATTATTTATTAAATGCAGACCAATGTGTTCCGTGTGGTATGAGAAATAAACAAATAAATAATAATATAATACATTTACAAGCACACAAGCAAAAACAAAACCTGAAGAATCCTTTCCCACAGGTTAAGGAGCAAAATTGTGCACTTCCCCCCCAATGGATTTTAATGGGAGCATTGTTAAGCACAGGACTAATGGATCCCATTATAATCAATGGAAAAAGAAGCTTGACTTTCTCTGAATTGTGTCTTATTTTTCTTGAGCCGGTTGTAAAAGAGTTTCCCCAACTCCCCATTAAAATCTGAAACAACTTTCTGGAAGTGTTTGCCATATGAGTAAGGCTTGTGATAGCCAGTGTTCTTCCCCATCTGCAATCATCATATAAAGCAATCATATAATATCAGTCTTAATACTATTATGTGCTGGTCCTTATATAGCCCAAAACTGCACCAAGAGGAAACTATCAGCAGGAACCCCAAGGTTTGCAGAAGTATAGAAAATATTCGGGAAGGTGCGAAACTCTTAGGAGGAAACCACCTCTCCAAACAGCCCAATGAGGAGACTGAGCAAGCTTAGTGACAACAAAATTGTGACTGGCTATTGCAGGAAGGAGAATGGAAAACCAGGACAGGGGGAATAGAGCAGAGTAGAGTGGGAGGAATCCTGAGCAGCAGCACTCCAATATGCAACATTTTGCTAGCGGTTAGCGTTAGTATGTCCTAAAATGCTGTTTGATTAACAGTGGTAAAAGAGTTGCAGGAAACCCCACTGAGTTGAATGAGGCTGATCCCAGAGTAAGCGGGTATAGGATTGCAGCCTTAGTGGCATTCAATGAATTCCCTCCGCCACCACCATTATGCTTCCAAAGTTTCCCTTTCTCTATCACTGAAATCTGCTAATAATGAATGACAGGAGGAAACCCGTGCTGAGAAGATCTCTAGGTAGGGATTTTTTCCCCCCAGGAGGGTTTGACTAACTGCTCTCTGTGGAGTTGTTGCCATGTTGACTTCAAGAGATCATGTTCATCTCTCATGCAGCTTTGGCAGGAGATGGCCATGCATCAGTTTGCCCATCCCATCCCTCAACTTCTTGCAATCCGCCTCCGCCCCCCCCCCCCAATAATGCATTGTTTTGGTTGTTCACACCACTGTTCACACACTCAGAGGACTTTCTTATGTTTGTGTATTATAGTCAAGGGTCCTCTCTACACAACAGCACATAAAATTTGCATGTGCTAATTTATAGGAAGAGACGCATATTTAGAGATAATTATTCTAATCTACTACCCTGTTTCTATGCTGTCACACATCACTGCCTTCAAACTGCAGGATTGTCCTCTGCAGAGGAGAGCAATCTCCCCATCTCCCAACAGTCTTAATGTTAGGTCCCCTAAGCATGCTCAGTGGGCTTGGAAGTCTCACCAGGGGAGAGATTAGGCATCAATGGCAAAAGCAGGAAGCCTGTAAAGAAATCTCATTCAAAGCTGTACACAGTTTTAAAACCTGTTTTCTTTCCCCCTCCTTCTGCTTTCTTCCTGTGTTCAAAGCAGATCTATAGACAGTTTGGAATGACTTTCACTTTTAAAAATACTGCGATTTCCTGGTTTGAAAACTGATTTGTTTTTGTTTGGGCTACTTCCCTTTGTGACTCAGTTCCACAAAAGCAGGTAGGAAGAATTTGACAGGATTTGAGGACAGCAGTGCTATTACAGGCCTGGCATTGCACGTAGGACTAAAGACAGCCACTGATACAGGCCACCTCTTAAAAGGAAGACATTCGGAGATTTCGCAGGCTTCTAAATGGTACAGTTATCATAAAATATTCCTGCGAATTCCAATGCTTCAAAGGGCAAAGACGGAGTGGGGGGGAGGTTAGGAGAAAACGCAAATACATACATTTCAGGTATGTGGCCTGGGCCAAGAATACTCCTTGAGCTTTACTCACATTTTTACTCACAGGGAACCCCACGAGTGAATGGGATGGATACAATCTTTCCTGTTTGTGTTGTGAGGAGAAAAACAAGCTTGGGCAAAATGCTGAGGTATAGAATTCTCTGTGGAACTGAGAGAAGCCATAAACCCTATTTGGGAGATTGCCTCTTAAGCAATTGCAGCTGTGGAGGGGAAGAGCATGGCTAGGCTCACTGCCGCCCCCCCCCCCCATTTATGGGCTGCCCCCCCCCAGGTGATATAGAATCCTGTGCAAATCATGGGTCTAAACAACATGAGAGCTCTATAGAGAAAGCTCCATGCTTCAGACCTTCCCCCTCAGCACTTGGGTGGCAGAAGGCAGGGCAGCAAGGTAGCAAGAATGAGAGGCTACCTCAAAAAAAGCCTACAGCAATTCATTAAATGAAGGAACACGGCAAAAGAAAACATTATAAAGTGCCAAGTGTACGAAGGCAGATATAAAAGGTGTGCAGGAGAAAAGGACAGGCATCTTCCTTCATCCGCTGCAGCGCTGAGTTCTGTCCCTGATTTAATAAAAACTGAAGCACCGCTATATCCGTGATGATTTCCAGCACCTCCGCCGACTCAGAATGGCTTCTCTGGCATTAGTAGCAGGACGGCTACTTGACACCTTTCCCTCCAGAATACTCTTGGTATGGGCTGGTTCGGGTTTTCGGCCGTGGGATGGAGAAATCCTGCTGGGGCTCAAGGTTCTAGGCAAAAAAAGAGGAAGGAAGTGGAATTGTAAGGTTTTTAAGTGACATATGTTCTGTTGAATGTTTCTTTTGAGAAAGCGGAACTGTTTTTTAACTAGGTTGAGGAAGATTCTCAGAGCCCCCTGCCCCAACTTTTGCAGTGGCAGGTTGGTAGTGGCCAACTTTTCTAAAGACCTAGAAGAAAATCCAGCGCTTGGGTCACTTATAATGGAAGTGAGCCTGGGTAATGTATAGGGAAATCCTTCGTTAATCAGGGGGTAAAGGTCAGCCAAACTCTTAAGTCTAGTCTGTGATTCCTAATGTGGCAGGCCTTTTAAGAGAACCCGTCCAGACAAAACTGCATGCTAGATACATTACCACATGGTTAGTTTTGCATGGAAATATACTTGAGCCAATGGTGCTGGGTTGGGCTCGTGAAAGCTTTTGGTAGCTGCAAAACTGATTCCCTTTTAATTATTTTTCTAGAATGCTGCATAAGGTGAATAAAGTGCTTCAGTGTGATCCCAACCCCTCCTTCCCCAGTTACTGGCATCTTCCGTTCGAACTTTGGACATAGAAGCTCCCCACAATCCCCTCTCTTTCTTTGCCTGTTTAGAGAAGAAGCAACTCGTTCACCATTTGCTATAAGCACAGAGACTCATCACCTCCACAGCAATAATCTTTGACTGCTTGGAGGGGAGAGGCACACATTCCTGACTGGTTAACAACCATGTGATCAGAAGGAAGCATCGCCTTCACTCATACTTGACTTTGTTTGTCTCCAATAATATCAGCAGTGGCATTAAAATGCTCACTGAGTGATCTCAGGTTGGCTCGGACGTTGCATACAGGGCCCACTATACAACTGCAATTTACAGCAATCTGCAGTTTACAGCCAATTCTATTACCTGCCCCAACATAAACTATTCTGTTGTCTCGACGCAGCCAAAAAGAACTCACGTTACCCAGACGTCAAATGCAGCTTGTTAGCTGAGTTGTTCTCTGTGTCCCACACAGCCCCAAGACCACATAACCTCATGTGAGTGGCAGCTCCACCACCAACTCGACAATGTTTAATAATTATCCAAACATGTTGAAATTCCTTCATAGGCCACTTGACTGAATGAAGTTGCATTGCAACGAATCATTCCCGTACTGAAAATCAAAGACTGTTTATTTACCTGCAGCTGGAAGTGAGTTGAATATGGAGGATATGAAGGACCCCTGTTTGCATCTGGAACTGAAAAAGACAAGCAAGGGGAGGCAGTGAGTCAGTGTGTTTAATATTGCCACAAAAACAAAGCAAACTCCATTTGATTCCAGACAACCATCTACAGCAACAGTTGTGTATACACAGTACAGTTAAAACATCCTGAGAACTATAGCCGTGGCACCCTGGGGTGCCTTGAAGGATGGTCAGGGGCGCTGTGGGCAACACTGGCCTCTGTTCCTTCTTCCCTTTCTCCCTCCTCTTTGACACCCTCTTGCATCTCTCCCAAAGGCTTGCATGGCTGTTTGTTACAGCAGCCCCGGCTTCAAGCTCTGCAGGCAAATAGGGCCTCTGGGGCTGGCCAGGGGGTGCCTCCCAGGCCCCTGTGGGGCAGCGTGAGGAGCACCTCTCTTTCTGGCGGGGGGGCAGCTCAGAGACTGGGGCAACAGTTGTGGCTGCCCAGAGGACTCCCAAGGAGAGAGGAGAGGGGAAGAGGCTGAGGGAACACTCCACAAGGGAGGGTGTTCAAAAAAGCATGAGAGGCTGCCAGCCCTGCAGGCAAGGGGTGACAAAACTGGGCTCCTGAGCCCCACAGGGGTGCCACAGAAAGAATGCAGTTGGTCAAGGAAGCTGTGGAGCCAAAAAGGTTGAAAACCTCTGATGTAGTGTGTTGTGCAGCCCAGTCCAATTTGTATTTACTCAGAATGAAAGCCTTTGTCATTTGCATAAAGGAAGGGCTGTAGCTCAAAGGCAGAGCATCAATGGGCATAGCCAAAGGGGAGGGAAGGGAGGGGCAGCTGCCCCCCAAATCAATAAATATAAATACATAGCTAACTAAGGTTCTGCCCCCGCCTAACAAAAGGCCTGTCCCCTAACAAAAATCCTGGCTACGCCCATAGGAGCATCTGCTTTGCATGCAGAAGTCCCTGGGTTAATCCCCAACATCTCTTGGTAGGACTGGGAGAGAACCCTGGCAGTGGGTTAGATACTGGGCTAGATGCCCCTAATGGGCCTTATTCCCAGGTAAGTGCATCTAGGATTTCAGCCACCCAAAATATTTCCCATTTTGGGACCTGACTGAATCCTGATCCATGTGGTGTGCAACATGTTGATTTGAGATTTAAGATTTAAGAAAGAAAGAAAAGTGACAAATGAATGCCATAAATCATTATATAGGCTTTGGCTATAGAAGCATTTACTTAGGTGGCAGTGAGCCTGCATTACAGGAAACACTAGGAAGCTGGCCTCCCACCTCCCCTGTGGCCCAGGATTGTCATAAAAAGTGCCTGCCTTTCCAAGGACACGTCCAGTATGGCCCTCTTTGTGCTCTGCAACACCAAATGAGAACATGGGAAGCTGTCCTAGGGAATGCTTTAAAATGGGTTAAAAAATAATAATTCAGCAGCATCTGAATATTTTTAGCTTGCCAAAGATGCTCTCTCTATCACACAAAGCACTTGCCAGTCCCAGACATACAGGCATTGCTATGGATAGCCATACCTTGCGCGTTGTCTTCCTGAGCATAGGCTCGATTCTCTACTCCGTAGGTTTTTTTCAGGACTTTAGGCTGGCAGGCATCATTCTCCGGAGGGTAGTCTCCAGGCTTCCGTGGAGTGGTGAGGAAACAGAGCTCAGGCACTGCATATATCATCAGGAAGACCCACCCATTAGCTACCAGAGCAATGCTGATAGTGGGATCGTCCCATTCTGGCCTTTTCCCAAAGTCTGTCATGAACACGCTGATCCATGCCACCCAGATGCCTATGGAGAACAGGGCTGTGAAGAAGGTGTGTGTGCCATGCCTCTTCCACCTTCTGTATGACCCACAGAAAACAAAAGTGGAGACCACAAAGAGGAGGGCTATCAGGAAAAGCACGTAGATGAGAAGCAGAACGAAGTCCACGCGGCTTTTTTGTGTCAAACCTTCCGTGGAGTTCAGGGCTCTCAGCTCTTGGCTGTTGATGGCTACGTACTGTATGGCGATAATAATCTGCACAATGGTCAGGCTGATGGCGAAAACCAGCAGCGCCAGTACCGAAAATGGCCGTCTTCCTCTCACCAGCTTGATGAGGTCGAAGGCATGGGCCAGGAGGCAGGCGAAGCAGAGGGCGAAGAGGACCCCGAAAAGAAAGAAGCGGGTGGGGGCAGTCCTCTCGTTGAGCCTTATAATGAAGGCAAAAGTGAGGCCGAAGATTCCTAGAGTGCCCAGAAGGAAGAGGAACTGGACAGGGATCAGGCTTCGCTTTGTGTTGTCTTGGACTTTACATACAAGGAAAATGAGCACAACGATCAGGATGGCTGTGACGACAGCACCAGCGGTAGCAAAGGATTCCACAACAACGCCCCAATAGTCCTTGGTGTCACAGAGGAAGTCATAGTCTCTATCTAAGCCTTGACAGACTGGCCGGGAGGCCATGGTGCCTCAGGACAGCCCTAAAGTGGATGCCGCCTTAAAGGAAAACCTGTAGAAATTAAGAGAAGCATGATAAAGCATGATTTGAAAAAGAGAGTGAAATGGACTACAACCCTACAATTCTATGAAGGGGATAATATCAGAGCAGCTGAAGCAAGTCAGACACTACTTAGAGATGTCAAAGGAATCAAATAATTATTAAGCTGATTCAGATAAAGCCTTATTTCATTAACTGAGTTATGGATTATGGAATCTAGGCATATGGTGAACTAATCTAGTAGTACCATTATATTTTAAAATATTATTTACTACAGTGAGGATCGTGTAATCAAAAGGCATACATTTTGTAACTCAGGTATAGTATTTTCAGGGTGCAATTGCCTTTTGAAGTTTCAGACTAAAGAGCTATATATGGCATGGCTTGAAGTTTGGCGGTGTAATCTCCAGCAGGCATTACTGGTTGCTTTTTGCCTTCTGCACAGTCAAACTTTGTTGGGTTGCTTGTTTTTACAAACTTTCAGAGTGGGGAGTCCAAAGGAATGAAAAATGGAAAGCGAAACTTCAACAGAGTTACTGAAAAACAAATACATATCTCTTCTCCCCATGAAAAACGCCTCTCTCTGTGTGATTATGTGTGTTGAGTGCGTACAGAGGTACCTCGGGTTACAGACGCTTCAAGTTACAAACACTTTGGGTTACAGACTCCACTAACCCAGAAATAGTATCTTGGGTTAAGAACTTTACCTCAGGATGAGAACAGAAATTGCGGCGCGGCGGCAGCGGGAGGCCCCATTAGCCAAAGTGGTACCTCAGGTTAAGAACAGTTTCAGGTTAAGAACGGACCTCCAGAACAAATTAAGTTCTTAACCCGAGGTACCACTGTAATTGTGTGTGGGTCTGACCCCACTCACTTTAGGGTCTGGCGCTGCCCTCTAATGGAATGTGACATTTTGGGGCAAATGTGGGCCACCAAATTTTAATCTTTTGAGTCAGGCCCCAACTGCCTGCAGGTGTAGGCAAATGCACCGCGTTCTCCAAAGGACTGTCAACACTGTATCAAGCAGGAACACCCCTTTCCTCCATCTGCTGTGTCCTCAGAGACATTCCTTCAGATAACTGAATACAGAAAACTCACCATAAAGACTGAATGCAGGGTAAGTTGCTTCTTCTGGTGAGAAATTTCCAAATCAGAACCCCTATGTGTCATTTTAACATTAGCACTTGCCTTGGTTGTACAAGGGCCAGGCAGAAATCCCCCCACCCTCTCCATTTCTGAGAAAAAGAAAAATACTTTTAAGCACTCAGGCTGTAGACCTATGCAAACTTGCTGCCAAGTAAACATGCATAGTACCGGGCTGCAAATCATTCATTCACTGCCTGGTTTGCTACCCTCCACTTAAGAGTGTACAGCTATCTTAAAACCACATGCAGCTGATAGCTAGAGGTCAAACAGCCAGATCCACAAACCAATTAAACAGTGCTGCATGCGTTTGAACAGAATGAACACATTGATGCCAACGGGACACCAACTTGCTTAATAATAGCAGGGCTAAATCAACAGAATTCCAGGTACTCCAGTTAAGACTTGCTAGCTGTGAGAACGCAAAATAAATCTACAGGGAAGGCATGCTTTGCGCACCAGTGCGTATACACAAATAAGGAATTTTTTGCACTTTTCAGATTCTAGGAAAGAGCCAGAGAATGACTGTCGATGGGTGTCTTTGTAATGCTAAAAACATGAAAGGAAAATCCCATCTGCAGACTAGCAATCCAGAAATGAAGCTACAAACTGCACCACAGCAGCATGCCCTGGGGTCAGGTTGAGAAAGAGCCACAGGACTCCCTCCTACCAAACCTCTTGCTCTATGATCCCATCACGGTAGCTTTGGTCTTTGATTTACCTTGAGTGTGCTCTGTGCTCCCACGGCTAGATGCGTCTTCTTCAGTAGCAGAGGGCAAACCAGGGAAATTCCTGCCGCACACCCACTCGGCAAATAATCTCAGCTCTGCTCGTTCTTCTCTCCCCGAGCGAGACAAGCAGCAAAATTGCTCTCTCACACTCTAAGGGCAGCTTTAAAAGCAAATGAGGAAAAAAGCAGAGATGATGGAGTAGGGACACGCCTATTCCAGTTCCACTACTCCTGGTGCTGTTATAAATATAACGTCCCGGTGCCAGGAGATGAGGTAAAAATGTCTGACGTCAACAGGACAGTCACCCCAGCAGCTGGGTGGGGAAGGATCCTGCGCCTCTCCCCACCCCACAATTGAATCCGTGACCATTCATCAAGTCAGTTGATAAATTGCACCTCTCTGGGAGTTGAGAAACCAAGAGGATATGGGCTGGTGGGAGACCCCTGGCCAACAATAACACCATTGTGCTCCTCCTCCCCTTCATTGCTTTCTATACTTACCTAACATTCAGCTGTTAATGTACTGAGAAAGTTCAAGAGTGACCACGAGAAACAGTCTTTTAAGTCTCCCTCTCTCTCCCTCTCCCTCTTTCTTCTTTGTACACTCGATCCCTGGAGCAGAAGCTGATCATGCCTGCAGACGCTCAGGAATTTCCAGTGCTTATCCTTCTGAGCAAATCAGGTGCTTTGCCATCCAGATCAGCTAAGAAAAAATATACAGGGGATATGTGCACAGACTCACACTCAGAGCCGACCCACCTATGAGGCAAGGCAAGGCAAGGCAAGGCAAGGCAAGGCAACTGCCTTAGGTGGTAGGATCCATGGGGCAGCAAATCTGGCCTCCAAGAATGCATTGCCCGCAGCTGTTGCCATAGTGGCAGTGACAGCTGTGGTACAAGCCTTGGAAGTCAGATCTGCCACCACCTTGGTAGCCCCCCACCCAGTGTCACCACTACAGCGGCCTCTTGGCAAATAAGAGGTGCTGCTGGTGACCTCCTACCCCTAGGGAGGAAATGGCGGAGCTGCCCTTGGAGTCTCCTAGGCTCCGCACCTGCTCAGCTTGATTTAGAACAGGCCTCTTCCCATGGGAGCATGATGGTCTTTGATTCCCTTCAACCATCGGGTAAGGTTGATTTGACACACACCTTTCTTCCCAATGTAAATTTTCACTCACCCCTTTGTACCCGATGTAGATCTTTATTTCCCCCTTCTTCTCTGGCATTTTGTGGTTCACCTCAGGTTCACACTGCACTTCCTACAAGTACACTTCACCACGGCCAAACCAGGCTCAAGGCCAGCACTGAGAGTGGAAAAAGCATCACAGGTTATGAAATTTGCTCTGTGTTATTACTTCAAAATGGGTGCAATGTATGAAACTAACCTGATATAGGGTAACTGTAGGTGTCTGCCACAGGCATCTTAACTGGGGAAACCATTTTGCTGATGTAGTAGCAGAACATATCTATTCTCAGTGTTCAAATTAAAGGAGATGTGATGCCCAGACACTGAAGTCCAGTGCCAAGGGCCTTCTGGCAGTTCCCTCACTGCGAGAAGCCAAGTTACAGGGAACCAGGCAGAGGACCTTCTCAGTAGTGGCACCCGCCCTGTGGAACGCCCTCCCACCAGATGTCAAAGACAAGAACAACTACCAGACTTTTAGAAGACATCTGAAGGCAGCCCTGTTTAGGGAAGCTTTTAATGTTTAACAGACCACTGTATTTCAATACTTTTTTGGAAGCCGCCCAGAGTGGCTGGGGAAACCCAGCCAGATGGGCGGGGTATAAATAAAAAATGATGATGATGAGCCCCCTCTCAGCTACTATTTTTCAAAGGCCACGTGGGCATCATCTCAACAACAGCTGAGGAGGTGACTCAGGGGGTTGTAGATTTCCTTAAGGTCCCTTTACCTTTCCCCCGGTTGTGACTGGTGCCAATGTGACTGGTGGGGCGGGAGGCAGGAAGGTCAACGTCCAAGGGAGCTAGAGCCAATGGCAGGCAGAGTCATCACAGCTAGTTGTAAGAAGGCAGGCAGGTGAAGGCTGGCTGAGGGCAGACTGAGGCTGGTGGGGCAGTGCCCCATACCCCCAAATAATTTGAGCAATGGACTCTGGTTACATACTATTGGAAGCAAGGAAGGACAAATGGTACAGTGGGTGCCTCATGCTAGATTTAACTGCCTGGCAGCTGGGCAGTACCACCCTAATAGGACTTGGAGACAGAACTTCTGGAGGAGCAGAGGTGAGCCAGTCAATGATCCCAGCAGACTCGGCTCCAGAACAGAAGGAGTCTGTTGCAAGTCACATAGCCAGGCATGAGGAAGGCTTTGCCAGAGCAGTGAAGTCTGGATGGGAGTGCAGGTCATCATTTTAATATTTCACCTGGGCTGTCCAAATACCTGAGGTTAGCCCTAGGGGCCCAAGCAACGCAGGTGCAACCACACCCTGAGCTAATCTCGAATATGTTGAGGCCACGTGAAACAGCCTTTTGGCTGGTTTGACAGCAGCTTTGCCAAGAATGCTTTCATTGCTTTTATTCTAAGAAGCGTCAAGCGACGATGTGTAAAAAACAGAAGAGAGGCTATTAAATATTAAATGCACACGGCAGGACAAGGCACATGCTATTGTGCCCTGTGTGCTTTTGATTGCTGATAACGATCATAAGGGACACATAGGATTTGGGATTTCTTCCTGCGGCCTAAATAGCCTCACAATGGAAAATGGAGAGTCAAGATGCAGGCGGGGAAGATATCATCTAAACAGCGCTGTTTGGCTTCACTGGCAGAGACTAGGGAGGCTCTGACGAACGTCAACAGAGCCAAGTCAGAAAGTGTCTCTGTCTGCAGCAAACCCTCTTAGAGGACATTCAGCTATAAATGGGACATTTAAAATAAATAAATAAAAAATAATAATAACTGTGGATATATGAGTTTTGAGACTTATTGATTTAAATAGGTTTCACCCTCTGTCCTGTCCTGTTTTTTTGCTGTATTATCACTGTGATGCCACATTCACCCACCCCAGAATTCTCCATTCAGTGCTGTTATCTTATATGGGACTGTGAATCAGAGCTTCAGAATACTGTATTTGCTCTGATAGCTGAAAAAGCAAATATAATCAGGGCACCAAGTTCAGTGACAAATATCCTTTACTATATACTCTGGGTGTGGCCAAAGACACATTTGATAATGTCACTAAAAGTTAAGAGTCCCATATAAATATTACTAATAATATTACTAATGCTAATATTTATTTTTATTTTGTTCCATCTTAGTATGGTTTATAATTCATGATGCTTACTGCAAATGATGTTTCCGTCTTTTATTTTAGGCTTTGAAACAACAGTGTGTGACACTGTTCTTTAATATTGCCATTTGACAGCTCAGAAATTCAGTCTGAGTCTGAGATACAGTATATATTTTGCTCCAGCCTTACTGTGCTTATGTTAGCACATATCTGAACGCAGGTTTTCCTGCTTCAGATTTGACACTACACAGAATTCAAGAATCTTTCTATCCCCTGAAAAGAAGGTATCTGTTCAGTCTTCAGCAACGCGATGCTGTGGGGATTTCACTTCAAGACAGTACAAAGTGGCTTCCTCTCTCTCTCTCTCTCTCTCTCTCTCTCTCTCTCGGTCCCTCTAAACAATCTCTCTCTTTTTTAGTATTCATCTTGATTTGCTTTCACAAAGCTTATGCAGCGGTTAGATTATACCCAGCTTTTATTGAGCATTTGTTCTGATTGGTTTGTGGGGTGGTTATACAGCAATGAACATCCATCCTGCATTCATTCTGACTTGCTTACTGGGAAGTTTACATGTCTCCCCGTTAGTTATTTAGTCATTCCATACTTTTCAATGCATTTCCCTGTCACTTTCCAAACCATATAAAGTTTGTGAAGATTCAAAGTCCAGAATAGAGCTCTAAAGCTTTTTGTCACTAGTCAAGCCACCAAATGAGACAACCTAGTCTGACATACTCAGGGACATTAGCTATGTCTCATCAAAGGCTGTGAGTACCATTTTTCTGTGCCTACAGGAAAGGGAAGGGACTGGGAGGAGAGATAGCTAAGAAAGGGAGGATGAACAAACAGGCAACAGATTCCAGTGCTTCAGGAAGCTCTGGAGTGATATTTTGGTGTGAGTGAGAGTAGCAAACATGTAAGCACTGGGAAGGACTACGGCTTGAGCGTGAAAAGAAAAGGGTACCAGAATGTTGCAGAATGTCCCATGGGCAGCAAAGGGGCTTCTTCTTCCATGTTGTTCTTTTCATGCTAAAATAAGGAGGCTAAAATAAAGGGAAACTAAAATAAATCTGGAACTAGAGGCCTCACCTTTTACTTATGTCCTTTGGCATGTTTAACATAATGAGTCATTTGATTCTTACTTGGGCTAGAGTTTTAAGGAGTGGCTTTCCGGTGTAAATATGTGGTAAAGAAGCAGCTAGGGAAAATAGCAAACATACACATCATCAGGGGCACTTTGGAAGTGTGATATGTAAAGCTGCCAAAAGAACACAAAATATAAAGTCAAATGTAAATTTGCTATGATTTATATAGAGAGGGGAAGGGAGAGAAAGTAATGGAAGCGTCAAACAGCACTCTGGACAAGTTTGTTCTGGATCCTGGTACGATGCCATTAATCACTAAAACTATGTATTTTGTTACTGTGACTAAGAAAACATAAATTTTAAATTCTGATAGCTAAACATCTGAGTTTCTGCCTTCATCGGTTGCTCTTCAACAGTTGCTCTTATGAAAATGCTGCTCTTTCCAAAGTTGCAGGTTTGAGGCTGTGGTGCTTAGAAGACCTTCATTTGCTGAAGCTAAGTGATGCTGTTACTACCCTCTTGGCTGAGGCCCTGTGATTTTAATGCATTCAGCATGTACCTCCAGATGTTCTCCTATTTTGCTAACATTGTTGGATTTGTTGGCATCTCTACAGCAGTTACTGATAAATTAAAGAATTTGTCTGTATTAAAACATTTAGCAGCAGGTCACTCCAATTCCTTTTGTCAAAATCACCAATTTGTGGTTTCTAAAAAGTTTGCATAGGTCAATTGTAGCTTTACCTGCATACAGGATATGACATCCCTTTTTTGCATTCAATGATATAAATTATATTGCAGGATCCACAGGTAATGTATTGTTTGATGTATTACTACTACTACTACTACTACTACTACTACTACTATTTACCCACCCTTCACCCTAAGGTCCCAGGGTGAGTTACAATATTGAAACACAATATTAAAGAGTTTAAAACAGCTGACTATGTTCTACTTCTCCTGGTGCTTTTGAAGGTAGCTATCACACAGGTGATTCAGGGTTTGAAATTACATGGATGAGATCCATGATTGCTGATCTGTGGTACAGCTCTCACTAATAGTTTGCATAGATTTGAAAGCTGGCAGAATGATACCTTTAGCAAGCCATTCAGTATTTGCTAACAAAAGGTAGCTTTCTCTTATTACCAGGTGATAGGAGATGCTGGATGGAAATCTACCGCAAATGAGATATATTGCTCTTTGTTACTTGACACCTCATTTGATGCAGGAGGCTTTCTCTAAACAAAATGGAAGCTTGGTGGATGTAGAGGATGCCCTCTTTGCAGAAGGTGTTCTTTCAGCTCTCTGATCCTTCATTGATATTTATCTTTGTTGCTGCAAATGAATTTGCTCCTGAAAGCCAAGGTGTAGACACTTTTTAAAAATAGATGCTTTGGATAGCAGGATTTCCAGCATAGGTAGATGTGGGCATTATCAGGGGGTTTGTTGTAAAGAACAGTGGCTATTTTATTGTTTTCAGTGATGAGGAGGACATCAAGAAAAGGGATGTGTGGATTATCAGTGGTGCTGTTGAATGTAAACTTGGTAGTTGGATGAGAGATGCGGGTGGTGCTGTGGTCTAAACCACTGAGCCTCTTGGGCTTGCCGATCAGAAAGTCAGCAGTTCGAATCCGTGTGACAGGGTGAACTCTCATTGCTCTGTCTCAGCTTCTGCCAACCTAGCAGATTGAAAGCACACCAGTGCAAGTAGATAAATAGGTACTGCTGCAGTGGGAAGGTAAACGGCATTTCTGTGCACTCCGGCACTCATCACAGTCCTCCGTGCGCCAGTAGCAGTTTAGTCATGCTGGTCACATAACCCAGAAAGCTGTCTGTGGACAAATGCCAGCTTCCTCGGCCTGAAAAGTGAGATGAGCACCACACCCCATAGTCACCTTTGACTGGACTGTCCAGGGGTCCTTTACCTTTTACCTTTAGCTGGATGAACAGAGTTTTGATGTAATTTGTAAATTGTTCTAAGTTCAGACCACAAAGATATTGGCTCCGCCATGCAGGTGGTTTCTTAATGAGCTCTTATGGGTTGTCTTGTTAAAGTTTTCCCAAGAATATATTTCCATAAGATGGAGCAACAGTAGCACAATAGCCATGCCTTGTACTTGCAAGTGATGCTCTCCTTTAAATGTTGTTATTACAAGTAAGCAGTGCTTTTTTAAAGAGGGTACTGAAGGGTATGGGGACGCGGGTGGCGCTGTGATCTACACCACAGAGCCTGGGGCTTGCCGATCAGAAGGTCGGTGGTTAGAATCCCCGCAATAGGGTGAGCTCCTGTTATTCCGTCCCAGCTCCTGCCCACCTAGCAGTTCGAAAGTACGTCAAGTGCAAGTAGATAAAAAGGTACTGCTCCGGCAGGAAGGTAAACGGAGTTTCCCTGCGCTGCTCTGGTTCGCCAGAAACGGCTTAGTCACGCTGGCCACATGACCCAGAAGCTGTCTGTGGACAAATGCCAGCTCCCTCGGCCAATAAAGCGAGATGAGCGCCGCAACTCCAGAGTCGTCGGCGACTGGACCTAACGGTCAGGGGTACCTTTACCTTTACTGAAGGGTATGAAGCACCAGCACCTCTCTCTTTTTGTTTAAAAAGTGTGACACTTATTGTAACAACTTCATGGCAAGTACCGACACCTATTTTTCTATTTAAAAAAAGCACTGCAAATAACCTCTGTTGGAGGATTTTTAGAATTTCTGTTGTTAAGGAACTCATTTAAAGCCTGAACACCATCTTTATGTGGCATTGGTGTAAATAGCTGTGACATCCAAAGTATAGTATTGGTGTGGAATTGGCACTGCTTGTTTAGAGACTTGACTTCAAGTAAGAAGTCATTAGTGTCTCTGATATGTGATGGGAGGCTTTGCACTATGTTTTGTAAGTTTAAGTCAATATAGAAATAAATCCTTTCAGTAGCTGTGTGGTTGGCAGATGTTCAAGGTTGTTTGGTTGTTGGAATGTTCAAGGTTGTTTGGCTTTGTGGATTTTTGGTAGCATGTTAAACCTGCCGTGTATGTGTTCCCAAGTAAACCTGAATATAAAGGGAGTTTCCTTGATGTCATTAATACATATTTTGTATGTAGCTAAGCAGCAAGAAGCAGGCATATTTGGTAGCCAGCCAACAGGCCAAAAAGCACATTATTCAGATGCATTCCAGAACACTGACTTTCATGTCTCCCTGTGTATATTTAAACTAGGCGTGCACAACTTATGACCCACCAAGTTGAATACAGACCAACAGTCGCCACAGTCTGTCACTTCCTACACTTTTCTGCAATCCCAGTCAGGCATTTTTGAAAGGAGGTTTGTTTAGCCCCTCGTGGACTGCCAGACCCGGTTGCTGAGCTGTGTTTTGACTGGCGGGTCACAAAGTGTGGGGGCCTATATTAAGCTCTCTTGTGTGCTTCATTTTCTCTCTTGTCTCCACCCCGCAGCTCCATTAATGAACAGATGTGTCTTTAATTTTTCTACATTCCTCCTTAGCTATTCAAGATATATGGCAACCTTGAATCTTGGGGCATTTTTTAGTCACTGTTTCTTAGCACTTTGATTTCATAAGACTTTGGGCCAAACTACAATTGGTGTTAAACACACTCCTTAAAATTGTGTTTTAAAACCTTCACTGGAAACCATAGGTGTGAGAGCCTGACCAGGATCACTGTCACCAAACGAATGCTGTGAAAAAGAATTTAGCTGTCATCTCAACGAAGATACTTAGCAAAAAAAATCTGGGAGACCAAGCTACGTATTCAATTTCATCATTGCGGAAATAAGGAAATATAAGGAAACAAGCCTCATATTTATTTTTAGATGGCACCTGACATTTACCAGATTGTCACATATCACACATATGTCGTCCCCAAGCTGTTGGAGATGAAGGGCCTCAAAAGCTTCTATCTCTCACTCTCTCGCTCTCTCTTTCTGCACGTGGGGTACATGTCCCACTGTGGATGGGATTTGAGAAAATACAGAAGATTACTCACCCAGATGTTATTCTGTTTCCATCCCTAGCATTTTCAAATATCTGGGATGGGCAAAATCTTGACGGCAAGAAGAAAGACTTAATCAGGTTCCTCTTATCAGTGGCTAGATTAACCACTTCAAGGTTCTGGAAACATTTGGAAAATGCCGCTTTAAAATACTGGTATATTCTTGTTTTGCTTTTTGCTTTATCTGAAAAGGTAACCCAAAAGAAACAAAAAGCATAACAAAAATAAGTTTTGTTTGACATGGTGTGATTTTATTTAATTTATTAATGAAGTAATTGAGGCTCCAGTAACCTCAGCTACACAGGCGGGTATATAGAATTATTTATAACTGTTTCTATTTTAACTGTAAGCCACCCTGAGTCCCTATCAGAGAAAAAAGGCAGGATGTGCATCATCATCATCATCATCATCATCGTCATCGCTGTAGTAGACCTTCCATGTCTTAAGCATCTCCAGCTGCATTTGCTAAACCCTGCAACGAAAAAGGTTGAAGTAGTTTAAAAGGACTCCAATGATTAATCTGTAATTCGTTTTTCTTTCTTTTCCTTTCTTTGGGTTGAACTATGTATAAGGTTCAAAGACTGTTTCTGCTTTGAGTATTATAAATGCCAATTCACTTTTATAATTCACCCCCAAGATCAATAAACATTACACACACACAAACACACACTGGGTCCCTTACACCCCTCATCCACCTTCTGTCTGATCTCCACACCTTGTACCCATTCCTCTTGGCTCACATCCTAATATCAGGACCAGAAGCACAGGTGGAGGGGGGGCACAGACAGGGTGTGCCTAGAACAACTATAGCAGGGGATAAGGCACTGGATCTGACTAGTGAGCCAGATCCTTACCTCCTGCACCACCCAAAGGTCAAATTTGCTACGTGGGCAGGACTGTCCGCCTGACAATCAGCTGATGTCACAAACACACCAGGGGACCTGTTTTTTTGCATAGCGCTATGAACAATCCACTGATTGTCAGTGCTTTTCAGGTGGCCTTGCAGGCCAGCCATGAACCCCATCTGGGTCCAGCCCCATGTTTACCTGCCCCACACTTGACATCACATATGATGTGAGCTGTAAGACAGAGGTGTGGTGGACTTGCATCTGGGTGGGATATACTATAGAGTGGCAAGCTTTTACTGTTAAAATATCAGCAGCCCGTGGTGGTCACAGCTTCACCTGGCATTGGGACTAGCATAGGAATGACGGTCCTCCTGTTGTGCCATGTTTGGCATGGCAGAGACACCAAAATGCCCTTCCTCTGGTGCTTCCTCCTACAGATGGGTGGATGGGAGTTGCCTTCTTGAATTGCACTATGATTTGAGTCAACAAGACCTGTGTAGATCGTATAAGATATCTTGGCCGATGCTCCAGTAGCACTTTAGAAGCCAAGCTTTGTTTGCTGTGTACATACTGGCTGCAATGTGCTCTGGCATCTGAGCAAAGCCAGCCATTTGACCAGATCATTCAAGAGGAGCCGTCCAGAGTTTCCTACAGAAGAAACAAGATCTCGCTTGGCAAGCGTCCAGGTAACTCCATCCACTGCAATCTGTAAATCAAAGATGGTGACCCTGTGGCCCTCCAGATATTGCTGGACTACAGCTTCCATTATCCCAGGCCACTGGCCATGCTGGTTGGGGGTTGGTGGAAGTTGGAATCCACCATCTGGAGGGTCATGGGTACCCTATCCCTACAGAGAAAGCCTTATTGTCAGGATCTGCAACACCTTCTCTAATTAGACCTTCAGCCCAGAAAACTAGCTATGTGCCCAAGTGGGAAACCCGTCTTGGCTCTGAACTTCCAAATGAAGTTTGGAACAACACTACTAAATGGTACACTGAATATAAACAGAACATTTACAAAGCACTAATTTCCTGGTACTTGATGCCAGGGACACCCAGTCTAAAAAGATGCTTAGATTCATAATATGTGGATAAGCTGTCCATTGACCCAGAACTTCTGGATTCAAATCCTTACCACCCTCAGAAATATTACAGACAAAATGGTAGAACAAGGACAGGGAGCATGTGGCCCTCCAGATATTATTGTTGGATTCCAGCTCCCATCAGCCAATATGGCCAATGTTCAGTGGCATTGGCCCTAGAAATATAACCGACTGGTTTTTCCTTTACCCTCACTACAGCTTTCTAAAATCAAGAATACTGCGAGCGAAACAGAGGAATCACCACCAGAACCAATCCTACAAGAAGATGAGAACCCCTCCTTTAAAAAAATCTGTTTCAAGAAACACAAATAAAACATAATTAAAATGAGAAGGCATATCATGTGCTCCCACTGTTGCCCAAATAAGTCCAGTTTATTGTACACACATTTTAAAAGATAACCTCTGATTACCCTTTATGTATAGTGGAGACTAAGAAAGAAACATGGCAAGTGGGATGCAAGAAGTTGATATGAAACAGGATAAGATGTTCATCACAGGGAGATGATGGGTGGGAGGTAAAAGACCTTCTGAGGGAGAGAAGGGAAGATCTTCCAGGGTGGGAGGCCGGAAGAAGAAAGGGAAGCAACCAGGTGAGAACTGGGAGGGTCCACACCTTATTGTGTGAGACACGGGCTAAGATCTACCTCTGATAGCTTTGTATTTCTTCTTTCCCCTTCTTTCCCCCCTTTTATTTTATTTTTATTTTCTTTTATGTTATTTTCTTTTTTCATTTTTATTTAGATTGATCTGTTTTTATTGTATTCTATGCTGAAAATATTTTCAATAAAAATATTTATTTTTAAAAAGAACTTATTTCCTTTTTATTCCACCATTCTTCCAGAGAGCTGAAGGTGGTGTACATGGCCACCCCTTCCTCATTTTATCCTCAACTCTGTGAGGTAAACTAAGCTGAGGGAGGTAGCAGCTAGCCCAACGTCACCCGCTGAGCTTTGTAGTTATGTGGGGATTGAACTTGGGTCTCCCCACTCCTAGCCCAACACTCTGACCACTATGCCACATGGACCTCCCTGCCATGCCTCACATTTGATCTTAATACATATCTTAATATATATCTTAATGCGGGGAGCAGCATGCTGGACCAGACAGACCTTCTACTTGTCCTGCAGAGCTCTCCTTATGTACTTAAGCTCTGTTTACAAAAGTTAAAAAGAAACCACTTTGCCTGCAATTCTGAGACCATGAAAGTACTGCTCAGCCCAGAACATTGCACAGGGTGAAGTTTCCATGGAATCATAAACAAGGTGCAGCACCAAAGGTACATAAAGCATCTTGCATGGCGATGACAAGGAACGGTGGGTGAAGGAACCATATGGCAAAGATCATGAAGGTGTCAAGGTTGCAGAGCCAGGATAAGACCCCTGGGTGCATCACCTCACCCGGTATTCTGGTTTGCTCCACCTAATAGTTTTTCCAGGACAAAAAAACAAACAAAACAAAACTAATTTGTTATGTAGGTTATGCTGAGAAATCGTGACTGGCTCACTCTGTGTGCTTCATGGCAAAGCAGGAAACCCAGGGCTTGCCAGTCCAAGTCCAACACTCTCTGCACTGTGCTACACCAGCTGCCAGATGTTTCCCAGGTTATTCCCATGTTGTTTGGTGATGGGAAGGTGCAGAGGCAATATCATCATCACTATTATCCATTTCCCCCCTTGATTGTTCCCTGGGAGGGGGGGAACAGCACCCATTTCAGAGCCTCATGATTCCCATCATCTTTTCTTCCTTCCTGGCTCACAGGAGAGATTGTTCCCAAGTTCTCTGAGGAGGAGGAAGCACAGTGCAGAAAGCAGAAACATTATTATTACCAACTCCTCATCCACCTCTAATTTTGACATAGTCATGCTTATATAGGTGAGTGAATAGTAAAGGTAAAGGGACACCTGACTATTAGGTCCAGTCGTGGCCGACTCTGAGGTTGCGGCGCTCATCTCGCTTTACTGGCTGAGGGAGCCGGCGTACAGCTTCCAGGTCATGTGGCCAGCATGACTAAGCCGCTTTTGATGAACCAGAGCAGCGCACAGAAACGCCTTTTACCTTCCCGCTGGAGCAGTACCTATTTATCTACTTGCGCTCTGACGTTCTTTCGAACTGCTAGGTGGGTAGGAGCAGGGACCGAGCAACGGGAGCTCACCCCGTCGCGGGGTTTCGAAACCACCGACCTTCTGATCGGCAAGTCCTTGGTTCTGTGGTTTAACCCACAGAATAGAGCTCCCCAAAAGGGCGGCACACAGGACCCCACAGACCATAAATCTGCCACTGGTTGTATCACTATTGGTATTTTGTATGCAAGTGAAATTGCGCTCTCTCTCTCTCTCTCTCTCTCACACACACACACACACAACACACACACACACACACACAGTGGGTGGGGTGGGGTGGAGAGAAGAGAGAGAGAAACTCTCTGATGCCTAAAGGCTGGGTTACCAGCAAGGTTCTATTTATAGTTTGCTATATTGCTTCACTACAAAGCTTGCATTTTCCCAGGGACAGAAGCCGAAGAACAACAAAAAGGTGTTGCCTTTCCCTCTTAGTCCCGGTCAGGGTTTAGATCACATTTGTGGGCTCCTTGCCCACTCTGGAGGAGCTGATAGCCTGTGGACACATTCCTCCACTTGTTTGGTCAACAGAAGCAAAATGTGTGGGTCACAAGCCATGCCCCAGGGAAAGATTTGATGAATGTTTAACCAGCAATTTGTGGCCTGTGAGAGGTGGAAAGCAATCCCAATTCAATACAAATGACAGACATGGCTGGCAAATGCAGCAGGAGTAGAAAAGAGTCAGAAAGAGGGAGGAAAAGAGGAAGGCACTGTCTGCCCTGTCAACAGAACTCCTAGCATTTCTTGATGTTACAACTTCAAGAGTAGAAACACACACTGGGCACAGAATTCAGGGTTCTTGGAATCTCCTCTTAAATTTCAAGTACAAATTTCTAGCCCTCATGGCTGAAAAGACAGATTTGGCCACTGCCCGGTGAGATTTAATAAAATTGGGGTACTAAGAGAGTTTTAACAAATAGTTCTTCCCTACTATGAGTAGCACAAACAGATATAAATGGTTGAGAATCAACAAATGTTTCAAGTTTGCTTAATTTGCACATTTTGCACTGGTCACAAATGTCTAGCTTTGTTATTCTATGGGGGGAAATGATATTATTATTATTACTATTATTATTGGTGCAAGTCTACAAGTCTCCACTATGTTGAGCTGCAAGAAGAATTGTGATTCTTCAGATCAGGGAAACTAGGCCAGCTTTATTGGATTTATTTTGGAAAAGATCACTCTTTAACAACAACAACAATAATCTTTTATTATTTATGCCCTGCCCATCTGGCTGGGTTTCCCCAGCCATTCTGGGCAGCTTACAGCATATATAAAAACATAATAAAACATAAAACATTAAAAACTTCCTGATACAGGGCTGCCTTCACATGTTTTCTAAAAGTTGGGTAGTTCTTTATCTACTTGACATCTGAAGGGAGAACATTTCGCAGGGAGGGTGCCACTACCGAGAAGGCCCTCCCAGGAAATGTTAAATTCAGGACTTAACGGTCAAATGGGTCCTCCACTTTAGATGCTTGCTGCTCCCAAATCCTGCTACTAGGTATGTGAATTTAAATCCCCTTTCACCACCCAGAACCATAGCTCATTAGAGAGGGAGTGAGGGCCTTAGCTCAAAGAGGGCCTCAGACACAGGTAACTCATTCTGTTTCAATGCCTGAGGCAAAACAGGAAGGTGCTGCCCCCCCATCATTGAAACCACTCTACCAAAGCCTCACTTACCGGGGTCATGAGGTGGCAGCTTCCAGCAAGATCTCATGTGAGCTCCACAAGATCTCTTGAGAGTTCTGCCATTCTGCCAGATCTCGCCAGAAGCCGCCACCGGGGCTCCTCACTTCTCAGGTGGAGGTAGCAGGGGTGGCACCTGTGGGGGCAAACGCCCCATGGGATTTTGCCATTCAAGATGGCTGCCTCAATCCACCTCATGGGTGGACCTGCCTTGGCCTCAGATTTAGACACTTGTTATTTTTTGGGCATTTGATAAGTTTTGCCATTTGTCTTTATGTGCATCAAGCCAAAATGGGACACACATGCTCAGCTTACACTTACAGCTAAAGCATCCCTGACAGATAGCCATCCAAGTTCTGCTTAAAAATCTCCAAGGAAGGAGAGTCTACCACTTCATGTGGGAGTCTGTTCCACTGTCAAACAGCTCTTACCGTCAGAAAGTTCTTCATGATGTCTAGACGGAATCTCCCTTCTTGGAACTTGAAACCCTTGGTCCAGGTCCTGCCCTCTGGAGCAGGAGAAAACAAGCTTGCTCAATCTTCATGCAACAGCCCATTAAATATTTGAAGATGTCTATGAGATCGCCTCCTGGTGTCCTCTTTTCCAGGCTAAAAGTGCCCAGCTCCCTCAACCATTCCTCATAAGGCTTGGTTTCCAGACCCTTGATCATCTTGGTCCTCCTCCTCTGCACATGTTCCAGCTTGTCAATATGCTTCTTAAATTGTGGCACCCAGAATTGGACACATTAATCCAGGTATGGCCTGACCAAGGCAGAATAGAGCATGACTATTACTTCCCTTGCTCCGGACACTAGACTTCTGTTGATGCAGCCTAGAATAGCATTAGCGTTTTTTGCAGCTGCATCACACTGTTGACTCATGTTAAGCTTGTGGTCTACTTAGTGTTAAATTTAATGCTACATAAAGTGTTGAACAAATGTGATTGTATTATATAGTATTGTATCAAAGTTGCAGAGAAAGCATGTCAGTATTTTTCAATGTAGCTGCACTAATTATTTCAACCGGAGGGTATTATTCTAACTTTGAATTTTATATACCAATAGTGAATTCCACAGAACCATACAGCTGGAAGAGACCCCAAGGGACATCTAGTCCAACCCCCTGCAATGCAGGAATTGTTTGCCCAACATGGGGCTCGAACCCACAACCCTGAGGTTAAGAACCTCATGCTCTACTCACTGAGCCATCCATTCTATGAGTGTGGAGCCTTATGTATCCAAAATGCACCAGCTGTGCACAAGGTGGAGGTATCAACAGGCTTGGGGGAACCAAAGTTTTGCAGAAGCACACTAACTCTTTAAGGGGGCAAGTAAACAGGAGGGACATTAAAACAGCTCATTGGGGACAGAGCATGTCCAATGAGTATGGGATACAGGTGCACAGAAAACCAGAAAGGAAGGGGAAATGTAATGAAGGCACTTGGAAAAGGGCATGGCTGGCGGGTTAAAATTCTGAATGCCACAGTTTCCACTTGTACCTTTCCCAATATAAAAAAGCCCCTAGCGTTGCTTGCTTTCATGATGGCTGCAGGATATGGAAGTGATTTCTTCAGTGATTCTAGTATCTTTATGGATAATTAATTTGCTACCTAAAGGTTATGGAAAAGACACCATCCCCTCCCCTTGTGTGCTAACAATGAGATCTCTCAGTTTCCTCAATTAGGTCAACTCCTGTGATTAATATCCCCCCATGATAGCTATTAAACACTGGTTAAAATTGCTGAGAAATGACTGGGAGAAAAGATATATGATCTCCGTCATGGATTTCTCATCTCTAATTGCTAGGCTTCTTTTGACAAGTGCCCCGGCCAGAAACAGGGAGTTCCACCAGACACATGACATGGGTGAAAGGGATGTCAGGAACAAAAAGAGCTTGGGTAGGTGAATAGACATCCTTCTTCGAGTTGCTAGCCCTGCTCTGATCACTCGTCATCCTCGTCACCTCCCAGAAAATGCAGTAAATCTGATACTTTCCTTGATGTCTCAAAGAAGTACCAGCAATATTTTAACCTGCTCATGCAAGAGCCAGCTTGAAAGCTGAATTGAAACCTTCGAAAGAAAACCCAACCAAGTCGAGAAGGGTGGAGGAATGCGGGGAGAGAACCTGAGGCAGCATCTGGGCACACCTCAGCTGGTTTTAGCCAGCAGGAAGAGGGTCTCCTCCTAGTATCAAGTAGACAGATAATGAGCGTCTTTCTGATGATGAAATGGACCTCATGCACTTTGCGGAAATGGCTTGCTAAGAGGCTAAGACTCCAATAACTGAAAACACAGGATACCTTCCCACTGTTGACAGCAATGGCCAGCACTCAGTCAAGCCTCACCTGATGCCGGGAACAGATTTTACCAAGACACTCTCTTTCTCTGAATTTGTTCTCTGTGTTGCGAATGTCAACACTACTGTTGTTCTTATCAACAGAATCCAGCCTCCAATAATAAATGGATTCCAGGAAGGTGATAGTTTGATGGATGATTCCTATACTGTAACTAACACAGAGAATTTGCTTTTGCAGCTCTGCTGGCATGACAAAATGGGATGTGTATACTGAGCCTTCAGACTGCACTCTTCCTCTTCCACCTTCGGGATGTCAGAGAATTCAGACAAAAAATGGAAACTGGGGCATAAATTGCTGACGTTCACTTCTTCATCCCGTGTCCAGAAGACAAATGGATCTGGCATATGCAATCAGTATTCGCTGTTTTTGTTACCGCTGTCAGTAAGCATTGTGTTTCCTTTGCATGGCAATGAATGCTGGGGAATCAATGAATTGTGCCAAATTTCACCATGACAGACTGCAACATGAACGTCTTTTTTGTTGGAAGCCAAACCGCAGCAGAACAGAAGCAGCACTGCCTGCAGCAAATACGTCTCGGAACAGAAATGGATAGCTGCTTACATCCTTACTCCACCCTCTGCCCAATGGGCAACAGCTTGCCAGAGAAACTTCCTGCTATCAGCAAAGTGGTCCTGCAGGAAAGGACACCTGAAGAGGTGAAGAGGGTGTTGCTGAGGGCATGGCTTTCCAGTGAGCTAGAGCAGTGGTACGTGCAACACACTTCTGCTCCAGGCAGTGCCAGATTTACGTATAAGCTAAACAAGCTATAGCTTAGGGCCCCACGCTCTTGGGGGCCCCCAAAAAAATTAAAGGAAAAAAAACCTGGATGTACATTTCCAAAATATAAGATAAAAAACAAATAAAATAAAACCTACATACAACAACAGTATGTATTAATAATTATTTCACTACAGTTGTACCTCGGGTTAAATACGCTTCAGGTTACATACGCTTCAGGTTACAGACTCCGCTAACCCAGAAATAATACCTCGGGTTAAGAATTTTGCTTCAGGATGAGAACAAAATTTGTGCTCCGGCTGTGCGGCAGCAGCCGGAGGCCCCATTAGCTAAAGTGGTGCTTCAGGTTAAGAACAGTTTCAGGTTAAGAACGGACCTCTGGAACAAATTAAGTACTTAACCCGAGGTACCAATGTATTAATATACTTCTTAATTGTATTTCACTATTTATATACTTCTTCTTAGTTGTATTTCAGATCAACTATTACTTTGATAAAATACATACTTTGTTATGTGCAAATGGCTTTAGATACCTATTAGGTCCATAAATTACCAGATAGCATATATTCAACACAAAAAACAGCGACAATTTGTTGTTGACAAAGGACAGCTGGACATATAAAGGGCCCCATTACCTTCAGTAGCTTAGGGCCTCATCTGCAAATCTGGCCCTGGCTCCAGGCACTCTGGCAGAAGTCTTTCCAAGGTACCATAGACACCCTTTTATTATCACTGCAATGTCAGGAACTTTGCCACAGAACTACAGGTGCTCTTCCTACCCTTTCAGTAGTCCCAAAAAAAAGGAACACAATGAGTTAATAGGTGAGACAAGCCACACACACAAAAGGAAAGGGTATATTTTATAGGACTCAGTGACTGCTTTAACACAATGCACTGGCCTTTTGACTCTTCCTCTCCTAGAACTATCTTCCCAGGCCCATTCTGCCTGGTTGTTGTGCATCTGAAACATTTTGGTACTGAATTTGCTTGTTTTACTCTTTCCTCCCTGGACCTGTTTCCTTTTGTGCAATGTCTAAACCATAAAACTGAAGGCAGAGCCAATGTCATGTTGTAATCTGGTAGATCCTGGCACTAGTGCAGTTGGCATAACTTCATATTAAAAAGATACCCCTCAATAAACTATATTTGTCTCAAATGTGACATGGAAGGCATGAGTAAATATCCTGACCTTCTAATTCTTAATGTGGAGATCAGCACACTAATCCTATGTTAACAGCTGAGATTAATTATTACCTCCTGTAAGAAAGAATTGGGTTCCGCATAGACAATAGGATCTTCATCCCAAGGTAAACTCACGATTCAGGAAACATGCAGATAACCAGTTAGTCATTTCTTAGTTTGGTCGTTTCCTTTCAACTTCAAACTTGGTGAAGTCAACAGGATAGTAAACATACATTTGCTGGACACAGAACAAAGGAACGGGTGAGATTCCTGCTGCCTTGATAGTACAGTATTTTAAAGGAAGAGCTTAACTCTTGCACTGATCTCTGATCCCTGACTTAGTGTTCCTTCAATATCAGATATATTCCTCTTTTCTTCTCTTTTTAGCATGGGTCTGTGGGACATTGTTACACTCACTCTCTAGGCTTTGGGGATAGTTAGGGATTCTTTTACCCTTTCAGATCAAGATGTGTCTGTGCTGCATGATTTGCCGCCTGCATATCTGAACCTCACTGTAACCTATAAACTCTTGTTTCTTTCTTTTCGCATAATAAACCAAGCTTTCTGAAGGAGCATCTCCACCCCCATCGTTCTGCCCAGACACTGAGGTCAAGCGTTGAGGGCCTTCTGGTGGTTTCCTCACTGCAATAAGCGAAGTTACAGGGAACCAGGCAGAGGGCCTTCTCGGTAGTGGCGCCCGCCATGTGGAATGCCCTCCCACCAGATGTTAAAGAAATTAACAACTATCCAACTTTTAGAAGACATCTGAAGACAGCCCTATTTAGGGAAGTTTTTAATATCTGATGAATTATTTTATTTTAATGTTTTATTGGAAGCCGCCCAGAGTGGCTGGGGAAACCCAGCCAGATGAGTGGGGTAGAATTGATTGATTGATTGATTGATTGATTGATTGATTGATTGATTATGGGGCAACGGGAATGCATATTGACTCCAGCAAAAGATCCTAAACTTCTTGGAAGTGTGTGTAAGGAGCACACAGGTGGTGGACAGACACGTGGGTTCAGACATACACCTCGTAACATTGTTACGGCACACACACAAAAACCCAATAATCTGGCCTAGTGTAGGTGACCTTGAACGTTAAAGCTCTTTTTACAACAGGAGGAAGGAACACGCAAGAGTTCACTATCTTACTCTCTCTGCAGACATGCTTACATGAACATGGTCTATTTGCTTTGCTTCATCTGTTCTTTGACTTAAAGGGTTCCGTGGAACTTGAAAGGATTAAACACTGGTTAATTCTAATTGTTAGCAAAACAACAGCAAAAGTGTAGGTAAGGAGCTGGACTCCTGCTTCAAGATTTCCTTTCTATTTGTGTGCGTGCTCCCTCCCTCTCTCTCCTCATTAAGTTCACCTTGTCAACAACAGCAACACACACACAGACACCCTTTCGGGAGTGACTCCACAATCTTCCTTGGCTAAAAGGAAGAATGGCCTCTCTCCTTGTTCTGGTGAAACGCTGTGCATGCTTCCTGATGTGCTTTTGCGAGTGCTGCCTGTTGGGATACTGCCAGGGAGATAAAGTCCATCACGGCCCCCAAGCCGTCTGCCGGACGATCCATCAGCCTCCCATAGGCACGCAGCGACATGAGTTTCTAGAAAATATCTTGCCACATTCCAGACTCATGCACGCTCTATCAGCAATTAGCACAGCCAAAAGTTGCACTCAGGAGAGCATTATTTACAAGTTTATTCAGCGTTGATCAGAACACAGAAAAACATGACCGACTGCTTTAGTGTCTGCGACACCAGAGAGAAAACGAAAGCAATAGCAAACATAAACATCCTGTGAACAGGAAATACGCAGACTCTGACTCACAAAGCCTGCTCCCTTTTAAGGTGGAACGGAAATATCCTAACATCCTCCCCCTTCCGTGTAACCTGTAGTACCTGTGGTTCAACCCAATTGCAACCTTTGTACATAAACCTTAAGTTGTTCTCTGTTAACAACCTTAGACAACAGATCAGCAGGAATTTCATTTCCTGGCATGTAGGACACCTGAATGAGTCCTTTCTGAATACACTCCCTTGCACGATGTAGCTTAATCTGCAAGTACTTGGTCCTTTGCTTGCAACTCTCCGAGTTCAGCAAAGCCAAACACGATCTATTGTCTTGATACACTTGTACAGGACATTTCACAGAAACTCTGATGTCCTTAAACAGTTGCATCAACCATTCACAATCCATGAGTGAAAATGACAGAGCATTGAGTTCTGCTTCACAGGAACTTAGGCTCACTGTCGTCTGCTTCTTGCACAGCCAGTCAAACAGACAGTGGTTGTACATGTAGCATACTCCAGAAGTGCTTGTACCATCCGTGGTGTCACTTCCAAAACTTGCATCTGCAAAGATTTCAAGACCTCCAGTCTTCTGACTGGTGAACCTCAGCCTGTAGTGCAAAGTCCCTTTCAAATAGCGGGCTATGCGCTTCAGAGCTTTCCAATCCTGAACAGTAGGATTGTTGGCATGTCTGCTAAGCAGGTTACAGCTTACAGCTATGTCAGGTCTTGAGCATCTAGCAATGAAATTCAACTTGCCTAGAATGCATCTGTACAGCGTTGTGTCAGAAAACGCTTCAGCAGTACTATCTACCTGGTAACCTGTCACCATCGGTGTGTCTGCTGGGTTTGCATCAACCAAATTCAACCTGGTTAATACATCAGCAATTTTCTGTGTTTGGTGTACCAGAAAATTACCTGCTTGGTCCCTCTCCACCTGCAGAGAAAGATAGTTGGATACCTCACCAAGATCCTTCATGTCAAAGTGCTCCTTCAGCTGAGCTAGGGTGCTTTGGTACAAAGCCTGATTCTTCCAAAACATCAGAAGATCATCAACAAAACATAAACAATACAGTTTGTTTTGCCCCTCCTCCTTGACAAACACACACGGATCAGCTTTGCCCTGGTGAAAACCTAGAGAAAGCAATGTCTCAGTGAGCTTTGTGTTCCAACACCTGGCACTCTGCTTGAGACCATACAAGGATTTCCGCAGTTTACAGACCATTCCCTTCTGTATCTGCATTCCATCAGGTGGAAGCATAAACAGCTCCTCGTTCAAAATCCCGTACAAAAAGCTGTATTAATGTCATGATGGGAAACATGCAGTTTCTCCTCTGCAGCTATCTTGAGCATCAGCCGAATGCTCTCATATTTGACGGTGGGTGAGTAGGTCTCGTGGTAATCCTGTCCTGGTACCTGTGAAAACCTCCGGCAACCAATCTGGCTTTGTGTCTGACAACCTTGCCATTCTGGTCTGTCTTGGCCTTGAAGACCCATTTGCTGCCAACCAGTCTCATCCCTGGGACTACCGGTACCAGTTCCCAAGTTTGGTTCCTATTCAAGGAATCAACTTCAGCCTTCATGGCATTTAGCCAAGGCTCAGCATCTTTAGAGGTTAACTCCTGAACCTCTTTGAAGCTTGAAGGTTCCCATACCTTCTCTGAGCTACTAAGAACAGCAGTTGCTGTCTTAGCAAACTCATCAGCAAATCTCTTTGGAGGTCTGCCCTTTGTGGCTCTTTCAGATCTGCGTACTAGACGCAGGTCTTCTGGACTCATCTCCTCCTTCTTAGGAGAAAAGTGACCAATGGTGAACAGTGGTTCTTCCAGTTCATTGTCAGACGCATCAGATGGTCTGACTGAGGCCTTTGCACTCTTGTAGTCTGCTGTGTCATCACTGTCACTGACACCAGCAGCAGCGCCGCCCACTGAACTGGAATCCGAACTCTGATCATCATCATCATCATCATCATCCTCAGCAGCTTCCTCAGCTTTAGCTGCTTCTTTGACATCACCTTCATCCTCCTCTGGGTAACTCTGGAAAATTCCCACATTTTCCCCACACTTAGGATTGTACTCAACACTCTCTGTGAACTTAATGGACTTAGAGTTGGTCATCCATACCCTGTATGCACCTTTTCGTACCCCATGAACAAACCATGTGCCCCACGCTTCCCAAGCTTGTTGCTCTGTGGGGTGTGTACCCACATGTCAGAACCAAAGATTCTCATGTGCTTGATGTTGGGTTTCTTACCAAACATCTTCTCATAGGGGGTACAACCAATAGGTGATGACAACCTGCGATTAAAAGTGTAAACAAAATTCGACAGAGCCTCCCCCCCAATACTTATCAGGAGATTGGCATCATGCAACAATGTTTTCATTCCTTGCAGCAACGTTTGATTTGCTCGCTCCGCAAGCCCATTCATCCATGGCGATCTAGGCGTTGACAAGTCATGCTGGATCCCTTCTCAGTCAGGAAAGCTTCAAACTGCTGAGAAGTGAACTCCCGCCTCGATCAGTAAACAGACAGCCAATACGTTTACCGTGAACATTCTCCAACCAAGCACAGAATGCCTTGAACTTAGGAAACGCTTGCGATTTCTGCTCGAGCATAAACACATGAATGTACCTGGAAAAAGAATCAATTAGAACCATGAAGTACCTTGCTCCACCCAAAGAGGGTGCAAGTGGACCAACCAGGTCTGTGTGCACTAGCTGGTAGGGTTTGGAAGCCTGCCTGCTAGACTCCTTGCCTTTTGGAGCAACCTTCACCTTGTTCTCTGCACAAGATACACATTTCATGTGAAACTTACAGGGTTTGATGTTCAGACCCTCAACCATCTCTGGCATCTTGGCCAGCGCCTTCCAAGACATGTGACAAAATCTTCTGTGTGCATCATGAATGCATCCTGCATGAAGAACTTTGTTAGTTTGTGCAACACAACAAGAATCAGCATTAGACACAACAGCACCAATGTCATCATAAGTTATACAGAACAAGCCATCCATAAACTTTGCATGCAAAATGTCCTCTTTGCCTTTTCTGATGACACAAACGCTCCTCTTGAAGGAAATCTCAAAACCACGCCCAGTCAGCTGTGGGACACTAAGCAAATTGTCTGCAGCACCTGGAACATATAGTACATCTTTGATGGTAGTGTGCAGACTTGCCAGTTTCACAGTCCCTTCTCCTGCGATTCGCAATGTTTTTCCGTCAGCCAGGTGGATCTCACCTTCTTGAGGTTTGAAGGAGATAAAGAGGTGGCGGTCCTTTGAGACATGGCGGGTACAGCCTGAATCAACAACAAACCTGGCTGTGACCTTTGGTGAGGCTGTGCCAGCAAACAAAACCTTGTTTTCCACTGGCGTGGGCTCTTCACCCTCCCTCTGCTTCTGGCCATCTGCAGGCGTCTGCCTCTGTTTACCTTTGCCCTTCCGGCCTCTGCAAAGGCGATGACCTTGGTTCCCATGAGAAACAGAGCTCTCAGCTGCCGACTCCTTGGCTCCCCCTGGAGGCTGGAATGCTGCCTGGGATGACGTGACAGTCAGCCCCCCTGCAGCTTGCAACCGGTGCCCTCGGCATCCCTGCATTCACTCGCATTCTGGGAAACAGCCAGGACCTCCGATGCAGTCAAACTCTGGGCTGGGATGACTGGCAGATGGGCTATCTTCAAAGCATGCCACATATTACGTGCAGTCAGATTGCCAGCTAGCGTCTTTATTTCCTCCAGAGAGACGGACAAGACGATTACGTCTATCGCCCTCAAATTCTCGGCCTCCCATCTATCTGTCAGAGGAACTGGAGGGGCTTCAGACACAGTATGCCACACTCCAAACTGACGCAGCAAGCTCTCACACCACACAGCCCAGGTCCCATAATTGTGCCGATTTAACTTTGGGCACTCAGGAGCCTCAGAAGCCTGGAAAAACTCCATTCCAGCTTTTACTTGAGCCTTGAGCCTTTATGCCTTCAAAGACGTCTTATCTTAGCAGCTCATTAATCTTGAGGCCTGCTGGGCTCGACGCCCAGACCAATTAGGCCTGCCGGACATCAAAGCTCTTGCCGCGGCAAACAGAAAAGCCTCACTTTCGCTTTTCTCCACATACCTTTCAGCAGTCTGTCGCAGTCTTACTCTCCTGTAAGTGCCGTGAATCTGGGCCCGAAACCTTGTTGTTGGGATACTGCCAGGGAGATAAAGTCCATCACGGCCCCAAGCCGTCTGCCGGACGATCCATCAGCCTCCCGTAGGCACGCAGCGACATGAGTTTCTAGAAAATATCTTGCCACATTCCAGACTCATGCACGCTCTATCAGCAATTAGCACAGCCAAAAGTTGCACTCAGGAGAGCATTATTTACAAGTTTATTCAGCGTTGATCAGAACACAGAAAAACATGACCGACTGCTTTAGTGTCTGCGACACCAGAGAGAAAACGAAAGCAATAGCAAACATAAACATCCTGTGAACAGGAAATACGCAGACTCTGACTCACAAAGCCTGCTCCCTTTTAAGGTGGAACGGAAATATCCTAACACTGCCTTTGTTCTCGAGCTTTCAAAAGTGAATCAAAAGACCCACTAAACCAGACACATTTTGAAGTCTCCCTTTGAGCACCTGAGATTGTGCTGGAATAGCTCTCTCCACAATGAAAGCATGTGTGGCATTCACTCATAGCATTCTTGCTATGTGGACTTTAACCAAAATAAAGTCTTGCTGCAGGTGAAAAAAGAGATTTGCTTAGCAGTGTTTAATTTCTGTGAAGGGGAGATCTGGGGCTCAGATTCGTCTGGAATCTACATCATTTGAAATAAGCTCTGCCCCCGCCTATCCCACATCAATCCATATGTTTAACAGCATGAGGTGGTTATTTCAGGTTGAGGGAAATGCTCTCTGACCATGTGTGTTGGGGGCATTTGCCTCCATTTTCATTTAACTGCAAACCCTAAACTCTGATGACCCATGTCTAAAATTAAGGACCAGAATGATGAGCCGGCAGCCTGTAGATACTGTTGGATGACATCTTTCATCATCTCCGGCCACTGGCTATGCTGGCCCTGGAGTCTAACATCTGGAGAACCACACGTTTCCCTTCCATAGTTTAGGGAACTAAGCCAGCTTTCTAAACCATAGTCTGAAATTGGCTCATTTCAATCATAAACCATAGTTAAGGCCAGGCCTGTGCAGAGCTTGTCTGAGGCCCAGGGCAGAAGTCTTGTTCTTGGCATGACAGTGTAAGTCCGGCAGGCCCCTGGCAGGGTCCGCTGGCCAGCCTAGCCTTCCAAAGCCCAAGGCAAGTGCACCCGGCTTCCCTCACACCTCTGCATGGGCCTAGTTAAGGCTAACCACAGTTTGACTGGTTTGAGACAGTATTATAACAATTAGTTACAGATGGAAGTGGAAGCTTCCTGTCTCTTCATAGCTGCACCAGGAGGATGAAGAGAGTAACTCCCAAGCCCAAGACTCGCCCATGTAACTCTAAACCATAGCCAGGGTTGTCTTACCCATAGGCTCTAGGGGTGCAGGGCACCTGGGCGCCGGGCTCTCAGGTGCGCCAGGTCGAGAGTCCGGGGCCCGAGAGTTGAGTCCGGGGAAGAGCCCGCCCGTCAGTTGGAGCACCACCGTAGGCTCTTCTGCTGTGAGCGGCTCTGTGCTGTGAGTTCGGGGGCAACCAAGCCAGCGAGACACTGAGGCGGCCGGCCGGCTCTGCCCTCCTGGACTCCTGGGACTGGGTAATCGGGGGGGGGCACCAGGCGGATCTTTGCACCCCAGTGCCGCAAGTGCTTAAGACAGCCCTGACCATAGCTTAGCATTACACCTGAAAAAGACCACCAATTGGCAACACACTCAGAAGGCTGCTTATGCATGCAAATTTTCCTTCCTGGAGGAAAGAGCAAAAGTGCCTTCATTAATACAAGAAGACCACACACCAAGGGCAGGATTCCATTCAGAACTGTCACTGCATTGTAGCCATGTAAACTCTATTGAAATAAGAAAAGGCAATGTAACAGCAGCATGGAGTGGACTGCATGCTACAGCTCTCCTTCATGCATTACGGTTTTAACAGATACAAATGAAAGCACCCTGCTGTGTACTCAATAATGTTTGAAGTTCATACACATCTTGGTTTCCCGTTAGTACATGACAGAAAGAACCACACTGCTTTCCCACATTTTTTGAGGAGGGAGAGACGGCATGCATGTTCCAAACGGTGCCACTTTTAAAGGGTGCATGATCCAGGTTCGTTAACACGTGCTCGTTAGCATCTTAAGATGTAAAGCAACACTAAACACCGCTGGGTTTCAGGTGTATAAACTGAAACAGGGGAAATCCTGCGATGATATGAATGTCAAATATAGGGTAAGCTAACAAATCATTCTGTCAACACCAGCTTCCAAGTAACATAATTTACAGAAAACTTGTGATTGCACATGGCACAACTGCTACTTAGAACTTGACACACACAAACCCCATTTTGCTTCTCTGTTGTTGGATGTTATAAAAAAAATATTCACAAAACCACTCCATGCTAAAATCAACATGGAAAGGTTTATATCCTCATAGTTGCATGCAAGTAAAAAGTCTGTGTTTGACTCTGGAGCAAAGTATTGCTTCTGACAGCCGGTGTCCGCCGGCGCTTAGGATGGAGTGTGATTGGCAAGAGCAGAGACATGTCAGAAAGTGCAATGTTATGGTGTTCCGTAACTGCAGACTATCACAGGGATACTAATGTTTAGAATCAAATGCAGGGGAGGAAGAGCCTCTAGACAATGCCATTATTTGCATAACATCAAACCTAACATTCATAGGCCATGTTAAGCATTGAAGGGAGTTCTAGAGCTAGAGGACACGTCCCCTTCTGCTATGCCTCACCAAAACAGAGGGCAAAAGAGGACACTGATTTGCATATGCTCATGTATATGTACAGATGAACATTTTGAAATAATTACTATAGTTTAAATAGAAATACAGTTCATCTCATCATAGCGGAGAGGACTGTGACCTGTGTGCCTAGTCAGTCTGCTCTCCAGCGCTGTGCCAGGGGGAGAAAATATAGCCAAGACATATCTCCAGGGCTTAAAGCCTGCCCTGGCTGTCTCTGAGCCAATGGACCAAGCCCAAGTTTCTTGTGTTAATTTACAAGTGCACAGCAGTCCAGGGTGCAGATTCAATCATGTTTCTTCCTGCCTCCCTATATGAAAAGCCACCCTGACTACTTGCATCAGGAACCCAGAATGATGAACCATGAACTGTGAATTCTGCTGCCTTGGCCCAACGTCACTTATTATAGGCTGGAAATCAGTAGTCTTGCTGTGACTGAGAAGAGGACTGTTATCTTTGTGGAGCAGCAACAGATAAGGTACAGCCCTCCGTATGTTGTTGGACTACAACTCCCATCAACCTTGGCCACTGACTATGCTCACTGGGGCTGATGGGAGTTAGAGTCCAACAACAAAATCTAGAGAGCCAGGGATCCCCCATCCCTGATGTACAGAGTACATGGGAGCTGTGTGGGTTTTTAAAAACCTGGTTGCTAGCTTTCTGTGTTCAGGCTGGAGGAGCAATGAGGAAGTTGTTGAAGCAGAATGGTTTCACCAACTATAAAACCCTGTTACGTGTCTGTTGCTTGTTATATTCTCTGAAATGAGGGACATTTGAGGCAGTAAGACAAAGATACGCCCTGGAGCTAGCAAAGCTCTTTGCTAATGGGATAACCCAGTGCAAATATGTTATGTGTTAGATCACATGCAGATGACCTCTTAAAAGATTTCATACAGGACACCTGAGAATATAAAATCAATCAAGAAGTGCCAAGCCACAAATTTTGAGGCAAACTGCCAAATCCAAAGTTTATATTGTAGACACACCTGTAACCCATAAAGAACAGTGGGATAAACAGCTCGGAAGGGAGGGATGGTTCTGAGCAGGAAAATGGCTGACAAGGAAAGGATTGATCCCCTCCATGTGCTTAATCAAAATGGCTGCCTCCCAGGGCTGGTTTTCATTTTTTAAAAACTGATTCGAAGTCCATTAGATGTGTTTCCCATGCATATCAGAGGTCCCCTGCCCCTGAGCTGGCTGCCTACAGAAGTGAAAAATCAGCAATAAGCAACATTGCTGGACTAGTTGCCATGTTCCACCAGCTACTGAAAATATTATTTTTCAAACAAGCTTTTGATTCTGCTGCTGCTTAAGATAGTGTCATGCATTGTGGGGGGGGGCTTGAGGCTCTTATGCCAAGAGCCTTCTAACCCCTGGATGTGGCAAGTGTTAAAATATAACCCAGACTGGCTTTCTGTTGAGACAATAGCCTGAGTGATGGACCATTAAGAGAGCAAAGGATGTGGATCTGTGCAAGATGGCAAATGGGTGCCCCCACTCCCTCAACTAGCTGGTGGTTAGAAAAAAGGCAAAGGCAAGAGTGATGTGAGGTAGAAGCAAAGCAGCAAGCTGGGAACCGAGAAAGACGGAGCAATGCTTGATTTCTGTTTGAATGGTTTTAAGCACCTGGACAGCAGCCATGAGCAGACCGTCCAGTCCCAGCCTTCCCCATGATGGCGAGATGTGTTCCTCTTTAGATTATAATACTTACTATTTCTGCATTTGCATCTATCAGTCTAAGCAAGCATATCCTCCTCTGAGAGAGGAGCCCTTGCACCTCAGGTTTATTGGAAGCAATGCCGACCTGAGTACTGTGACGCCTGAGGCGGAAAATCTCCATCTCTCTCCATACCTCATCGCAGCAGTAAAAATATAATAAACAAAATCATTGACAATTTGTAACCTTTCAGAAATATGCTGCTGGAGGCAAGCACTGAATAATGGCAGGGCCAGCTGGGGCTGCCAGGAGTCAGGATCACACACATTCCTCACGGAGGAGGCAGCCCTGCAAATATCTCTCCCTTTCGCAAGAAGCAGCCCTTTTCCGTCCTAGTGAAGCCACAGCTCCTTCTGCTGGCTCTATGCGCAACTGCAGGCATCCTCCGACAGGGAGGCCAGATTTGGATTTGGAAGGAAGCAGCAGGGAGCCTAAAATTCTAGATGTAATTGACTCATTGTGTGGAGGGGGTGTCTTTAGATGATAGCGTCTTTATTCGCTTGTTTCCTAATGTGGTAAACCAGCTGTGCTGAATTTCAGGCAAGGGTAAGTATTTTCCTGTCGAGTGACTTCCTGGACCTCAGCTCCAAACTCCCGTCTTGAGTTCATTACTGGGATTCAGCATGAGGCAAACACAAAAACAGCCAGGGCAGCACCAGAGATCTAAGCTGCCAGCCAAATCTCTGGGCCATTTGCCAGAACCGGGAAGGAAGTGAAGCCAGAAACAAATGCAAGCCAAGCCCATTTTGTTATTCTTGCACAACAACCTCTTGCACACATGTCTAACAAGGTTTTGCATGGGGTGGAGGCCTGAGTTTGTAGCCTGAATGCACACACCTGGGCTACGAACATTTCATGCAAAGTCA